TTTGAATTTAGGACAATCTTTAACAATATTCCAACATTCCCACCGGTGGAATGATTTGTTTCTTGATTTGATTTTGGCAGCATACCATGCTTGTGCTTGAAGTTGCTACAAATGAATAATAATGAAATTATTAGGTAACAATAAATAATACAAACAAATATAATAATGAAATTATTAGGTAACAAATAAAACAAATACAAACAAATAATATAATGAAATTATTAGGTAACAAATATAATAATAACAAATAATAATAATTGTGAAATTAGGTCACAAATAAATAATACAAACAAATAATAATAATGAAATTATTAGGTAACAATAAATAATACAAAACAATAAATATATGAAATTAGGTCACAAATAATAATGCAAACAAATAATAATAATGAAATTAGGTAACAATAAATAATACAAACAAATAATTATAATCAAATTAGGTAACAAATAATAATGCAAACAAATTATAATATATTCTTACCTCATCCGCATAATTTGCCCCACTTCGAACATTACTACTAGCTTTTGTCAAGGCATCTCTCCACGTACTAAAGGAATGGCTAAGTATTTTCCAACAACTGGACATCGATTCTTTGGTTCTTTTCCCACTCATTTGCTCAAGAAATTTGGTATGAATTAAACTCCACATTTCTCGCAACTGCATCTCATTACCCGTAAGGGAATTATGAGTAACTTCAACCCAGCTAGTGCACAACGCAACATCTTCAAGAAGTGACCAATTCGTACCTGCATCAGTAGTCATTTTGTGGAAAAAAACTTGGATTGAAACTTTGAGAGAAAGATAGGAATTTGATTGAAAGTAGTTTAGAAAATATGAAATTGTGGTGTAAGGTAGATGGAGAAGAAGTGGTATTTATAGACAAGTAAAAACAATTTTTTACAAATTATTTTCAGATTTTTTACAATTTTTTTGGATTTTTTTACAATTTTTTTTAAATTTTTATTCAAATAATTAAGCTCTGTCGTTGGATTTTAAAAAATTTGAATTCCAACACTCCAGATTGTGCCACGTGTCACAACGATCGAACGGACCGTGGGAAGCCACGTGGCTTCCCAACGGTAACTGGGTTTTCTGGGCGCACAGGCCCGTGCCCTGAATTCCTGTCGGGCGACGCGCCCCCACTCGCGGGTGAAGGGCACGCGCCTGACACAGAAAAAATTAAAAAAAAAAGGCCGAACCCAGGTCTGACATCACGGACCTTGGGCCACAGGCCTGTCGATTCCCCACCCCCCCTGGCCCTCGGGCTCTCCAACCGGCCCTCGGGCCCTTTCCTGGAGCCTGTTCCCTGAGCAACCACCATGGGTGGACTTGCTCTACTGATGTGATTGTTCACATCAAATGCCACCTAAGGTGGTATGAAAATGTGGTACAAAAACATAGTATGAATAACATTACTCATACTTAAACTTAGCAACATCGTCTGTTCTAGTTCACGGTTATTATGCCCGTCTCTCATTTCTCTCATGCATATTCCTTCCTTTTCTAATTAAACATGAAAACAAAAAACTAGCCAGAGATGAAATCCTTATTGAAAGGGTCTCAATATTTACCGATACGTACCCAATATAAGTATACACAAGGAATGAAGCCCGCGTGATGCTGCAAGTTTCAAAGCTGTCTTAAACATGTAAAAAGTAGGACATATATACGTGAGAAAATATGTGCCAAAGAGTAGGGTTATATACATATATTACATGAGAAAATTGAGGATGCTAATATGGCATAGTTAGAGAGTGTTATTTACATTCTTATATTACATGACAAAAAGTAGTATAGTTATTTAAAACAAAGACTTTGGCTTATCACTTGCAGCCATGTTTCCAATTGCTCAATTTCTTGTGATTTCTTAATTTTTGTTCTCTAATCAAGGGAAATTACAAAATCATATTGAAAACCCCTATTGAAGCACATTAATAATCTAACTAATGAATGTGATTCGAGAAATAAACCTTTTTAAAGTGCAATCAATCAGATCCCGCCCTTGCATTGCTGGTTCCAACACAGCACTCTGTACCAAAATCCCAAAAAAAAAAATTCAATAAGTAACCTACTTAATAGATTAATGTAGGCAGATGTGAATTTGAATGGCTTAAAACTCAAAAATTGCGAAATTTTATAGAAAAGTTTCGATCATACCTTATTTCAAAAACATACCTCTATTCTTCCTCAGGCTGCGGAACAACTCCTCCACCAAACCTCCACCAAAACTGATTTACAGCATCTGTTTCGAGCCTAATCATTATGAGTCAATTTGGAGATTTGATAAAAGATCTCAGAAGTTAAATGAATAATTTAGATAAAAAAAAATAATATCAAAAGAACCCAAACTTCAAAAGAAAAATTGTCCTAAATCTTGCAAATTTAAACGAAGAATTCTAAAAAAAAGGTAAATCGATCTAATAAAGACATGAGTAAATTAATTTCATAAATATGAAATCATAAGCATGTGATTCCTAATACTACTGTTGGTATGAACAGTAAATTAATTTATGAGTAAATTGATTTCGATTAGCTTTAAAACTCAACCATTGCACACCAAATTCACAGCCTAAGCAAATTTGAGGGTGTAGAGTAAGAATATCACCTTCGTGGGACCCAAAAGGTCGAAAAGGCCTGAAACCGGTAGGAGAAAACTCAGATCTTTGTCGGAAAAACCCACCGCGAGCTGGGTTTATGGAACTCCTCGGTCTAGGGGCAGATTCGAGCATGCAAAACTCGAATGTTTTTGTTGGGACTCTCCTAAGTTGAATATATTGAGATAACACTCTGAAAGAATAGATGCAAAGTTGCAAATACACACACACACAAAACCTTAGACAATCCCTCCAGCTTAAGGGCATTCATATGCAGATTATATAGTTTCCTTCAAATATATATATGAATATAAATATATGAATTAATCAACCTTCTTCTCTCTTATGAATGCTTATTCTACTTATCATTGATATATATATAAGTTCAGGCATTCTCCTCACTATGTCCTCAAATGTGGATTGGCTGATTTTCAATTCAACTGATGCAAAAAGTACTATATATGTTTTGAGTTTATCAACGTAAAGATGTAAATAGTACTACATACATCAAACTGGTATGATGTATGCACTACGAATCATACATTTATTACGTAGATGATTTGTCCTAAAACAATCACAACCTCAAACAACTAAAGTTTAGAGAACGAACTCTGAGTATCAAAGTACTTGACTCATCTCACTCTTTGCATAAAACATTTAAAAAACCAAATGCCAATTATTAAAACGGAAAAATCAAGTACCTGGCATCTTATCTAGACATTCAAGATGGTAAACAATATTTTTGAACACCCACTCTAAATATGACAACTATTAGCAACCCTCAACCTTGTAACCTAAATCAAGCTGGTTTCAAATAAACCAATGGAAAACCAAAATATCAGTGTTTGGGAAGTAACCTTATTTGAAATACCATTAAAAAAAGAGAGTATACTTTTAGGCAAATATTGTTCAAAAACATAAATATAATTCATGATACCTGCCAAAAGGAATATACCTCTCGATTACATTTCTTTCCTTCACAGTTCACAGACTTTCTCCTTGACAAAGTCCTAAGATCAAACCAAAAAGGAAAATTGGTCACAACTGATGCAATTTATCAATAAAAAATCACCGGAAAAAACAGAACTCAGATTCCACAATAAGCAAAAGGTAAGGAAAAAAGTGGATTTATTGAAGATTTGGAAATCCTACAGACACAAAGGTGAGAGAAAATCCTTCAAATAATTGCTTTGTTGCAACATGACCATTACTTTATATGGCTGGAGACGATTGGTGGTAAGCTCACACAAAATTTGCAGATTAAATCACAACTACAATTGAAAAACAACGATATGGGATCACATTGATCATAAATTATTATCTGCAACTCAAAAAATAAAAAAAAAGAGAAATTATTATCTGCAACTTAAAAATAAAAAGAGAGATAGAAACTTGCCGGAAAAACGAAAACCCTCGCCGAATGGAAGATGATTGGTGGCAAAGGGGAGGTCCGATTCGCAATAGATGCAAAATTACAGATACACACACACAAAACCTTAGACAATCCCTCCAGCTTAAGGGCATTCATATGCAGATTATACAGTTTCCTTCAATTCATCTTAAAATGAACTAATATTGAACATGCAATACCTTAACGTATCTCCTAAGAGTGAGAGAAGTTGTTTCCAGGTAACGGAGAGGCTCAATTCATCGCGATCGGCAGGAATTGGGTCACTGGAAAATATGTATGAAACCCTAACTATTGGTTACACGAAAACAACGACAAAATTGGCGAGAGCTTGACTAAGAAGAGTGAGAGGGATGGGTTGGTAGTGGTTCAGAGGAGTGCAGTGGTCGTTTTCAGTAGTTGTGGTGAGTCGCGCGCGGAAAGGAATAGAAAGGCAGGAGGATATATAAACAGTGGCAAACTTGAAATAACAGAAACTAAGAGAGGGTAAAACCGGAACAACACTGTGCTTATGAACAGTGTTTCAAGGCAAAATGTGTTTTAGTATATATTGAATTTTTATGCGTCAAGCTCTCTCTAACTGCACATCTGCAACCAACATGCATTATTTTTCAGTCCACAAAATGGTGATTATATCCTATGGGATGCACCTCAATTCATCAAATGGACTTTTTTAGTCATCAAATGTGTTGTTTTTCAAAGCCAAATGGCGAATTGACGAAAAATTAATATATTATATATCTCTAATTTGCATAGACTAATTAGTTAGGTCTGAATTTGGAACCGATTAATTAAGGATTTTTTCTTTTATTTTTTAGTTTTATGGAGGTGAACTAACTGTTGCTTTTTCCCACTTCCTCCAACCACAACTCATCAAACTTGTATTGACGCTGTCCAAGTTTTCAGTCTCTTCACACATATTTTCTCTATAAAAACCCAATAGAGACTTTCTATTCTTCACAACAGAAAAACAACAATTCAAATTGAAGACATTTGCCTATAGCAACTCGTCAAACTCAACCATGGCTACCCCAAAACTTTTCTTCACTTTGTCTTTGGTGGCGGTGCTGTCACTCTCAAGCATCCACATGAGCCAAGCTGCTCGCCACCTTTTGGACACACCAGCAGCGGCTTCTCCCCCAGCATTGGCGGTGCCTACAATTCCATCTCTGCCCAAAACTACATTTCCTCCACTGCCCTCACTACCTACAATGCCTAAAGCCACCTTGCCACCCCTGCCCTCAACCCCGTTGCCTACTCTACCAACTGTCCCAACTCTTCCAAAGGCCACTTTGCCACCATTGCCTTCCACTCAATTGCCAACTCCATTCCCAACCTCCCAAACCCCATCTTTGCCAAAACCAGCATTGCCTACTATGCCCACAACTCTACCTCCATTGCCAGCCAACCCACTTCCCAAATTCCCAACAACAATCCCTTCAATTCCCACCATTCCATCAACAATTCCAGCCATCCCATTCCTCTCCCCACCCCCGTCAAATTAAATCAACCACTCAAGAGTTCATATGTCTCCATGAATGGATATCTTTGTGCTTACTGCTTACTACAAACTGTCTATTTTCTTGGATGTGCTAGCTGGAGTGTCTTCAGAAGTCCTGCAACGTGACATGGCTCTCGTGTTTGATTCTTGCTTGTTGGTACATGTTATACGGTTCTTGTGTTAGATCCTGGCTTATTATTTATGTATTCAATATACTTGTGTTGAGACTTGAGAGCTTGTGAGGATTGTTATTTTTCATGCCTTCTTTTCTTTGTTAATTAGGTTTTACATGTTGTATAGATATTTTGTTGCTGTATTAATTTTTATTAATTAATTATATAGTTTTACTTATCATGTTTTTTTTTTCCCTATTACAATTGATATTTTGCACTAATCTATACAAATTCAAGGGGAGGGAGAAGGGTTTGAACTCAGGACGCAGTGAGTTGAAAGGAAGACCCTAACTACCAGAGCAATCCACAACTTGCAAAGACTTGTATTATTATTATACCATCTTTCACACGCCCACATCGGAAGCATGACAATATATATTACTACTTATAAATGAATGATACCACTACTAATAACATTGAGGACTTTTGCGATAGGACACAACACTTGTCGAGTTGTGCAAGTGGTTAAGTTAAGACAATATTAGTGTGATTAGTAGTGGACCGCTATCTCAATTCTAAAATCTTAATAGTACACACAATTTGAGAAAATACCTTTTTATTCTTTTAAATACAACCGCTTATTAATGATGGCTATATCCAAGGGAGGGGTGGGAAACAAAAAACTCCCAAAATTTGGGCCCAAAATCTCTCCAAGGGCATGTATTTTGGGGCAGGAATTTTGGGATGTTGGATTTGGGGGTTGGAATTTGGGATTGGTATCCACCCAAGGTATAAAATATTGATGATATCGCAAATATCGGTAGTCCAAAAACACGGATATATCGATGGAAATATCGGGATATTATCGATATTGATAAAAATAATATGGAAACCACGGAAATTGTAAGAAAAACTTGGAAATTTTTATTGAAACTTTGCAGGATGTTTATTTAGTCAATTATCTATTAGTTTATCACAAAAAATTGGAAGGAAATGCATTGCATGATGGATTTAATTGATTTAAGTTGATTATATAACGAGCTGGCAAACATTGTGAGTGTAGAAAATATATAGTAATTAATGAAAGAAGTTTAAACACACTATAATCATTTATATATAATGAATTAGTACAATATTTTACACTTTATACATTGCATGGTAAGATACATGAGTGACTTAGTACCACATAGAGTTCCTATGAGGTTCAAATTTTTCACTATCTTCGTCATCTCTATGTGTAGAGTGAGTGTATTGTGAAGAGTAGCCATCAAATGATAAATCCCCAAAATAGTTTTGCATGTAATTGTTAACATGCAAACCCATATGGATTAGAGATTGGTTGACGTTGTCCATAAGCAAAATCATTTAAAGATTGAGTCTCGGATTGTTTCTATGAGTCGCTCGATTCCATCCCAACAGGAATGGGATATGAAGGGTAGGGAAATGGTTGGTTATGAGTATAACCATAGTTACTACTTCCCAGTCCAACAGAGTCTGAAGTTATAGATAACGAGTCATCTTCTTGACTTGACAAAATCCCCTTGCCTCTTTCTCTACGAGTATAGTCCTTCCCTATGGCACCAATTCCTGGTCCTGCCCGCCTACTGCCATGGTTCTCATCCTGTGTTGAATATGTGAAGTTTGCCTCACCAGTGAAGGGGCTCATAAATCCGGGAGGTGGTCCAACATAGTTTCCATATCCACCACCACTACCTCCAGCTCCACTATATCCTTCATCATTCCCACCTCCGGATGTAGGTGAGTCCTGATCTTGTACTAGAGCTATCATTAGTATCACCACGATGTTGTGGTTGTGTAGGATTGGAAGAAGGTGGAATTCCAATGTTTCTTGGTCTTAGGCGCAAAAGTTCTTCCAAAGAGTCAGCGCTGCTAGATCCCACCTCCTCCTCTAATACTCTTTCTACATTTATCCCTTCATTACGTGCTTCTTCATCAACTCTGGGAGCTGGGTTGCCTTCATCATCATCTAAATGAAGAGGTTTAATCCATTGATAAAGTTGGTTACCCTCTGTATCATCATCTTCAGCAACAATATCAAACACATCTAGTGGGTCACCATGGTTGACATGATCTATTTCTGCTTCCTTATCTCGAATTTGAAGCTTCATGTTGTAGTAGCAATAAACTAATTTTTCCAACCTACTATGAGCTAACCTATTTCTTTGCTTTGTGTGTATGAGTGCAAATGTGCTCCAATTTCTTTCACAAGCAGATAAGGAAGTTGTTTGTGATAATACTTTGATTGCTAACTTTCTCATAGTTGGTGCATCAGTCCCATACATGATCCACCATTCAGCTACAATGAAAAACAATGTTGATAAGCCTAATAACTCCAACAAATTCTATTATAAACTGATCGTGAAATATGTTTACACTCACTAGGAGACATTTTTGTTCGAGCAGCAACTAATGTTGGTTCTCGAAAAGTTCTTCTTGCATCTTTAAACCATGTTAGTTGAATTCAATAAATCATGTTAGTTTAATCCAATAAAGTAATTATTATAATTTAAGTAATTGTGTACCTCATTTTCAAATTGGCCAACTGCTGGTGATGTAGAGTCTAATTTAGAGTATGCATTATGTACAACAAGTATAAGGGTACCATCATCTCCAACACCGGGTCTGTATTGGTATCGAGGATTCAAATAATATGCTATTCAAAGAAACACATACTCTAATAAGAGAAATAATACTTATGCAATGAAGAAATGAATTGCAAATTATGACATGATTTATTCCTACTGCATGCAAATCGTGGTATAATGTTTTATACCATCGGCCTTCAATTATCTTTATGACCCACCTTGCACTATGTTTTTTTTCCAATTCATCCTTCACTACATGCATCAACTCATATATTGCCCCCATAGTAGGATACACTTCTGTGTCAACGATCCGTAAAACTTTGTAAAGAGGTTCAAACACTTGGCACAAATGTTTTGATTAAGTCCAAAAAGCATGATCAAGCACTATACTTTCCACCATACGACCTGCATTTGAGTGGTTCAAATTGTGATTGGCCCAATCGTCACTAGTAAATACTTGATTCAACCTTGCTTTCTTCTTAAGTAAGTTGTCTAATGCAATATAGTTGGTGGTGAATCGAGTGGTAGCTGGACGAATAATTTCTCCTTCACGCATCTTTGCCAACAACCAATCGTGATTGTAAATATAATTTGTGATTGTTCTAGCTCTTTTACACGCATCTTTGCCAACAACCAATCGTGATTGTAAATATAATTTGTGATTGTTCTAGCTCTTTTTACCACAGTAGCAACATTCTCTCTCTTCCCCATTGCCTCAAACATGAGATCAATACAATGTGCTGCACATGATGTCCAAAACACATTATGGTGCTTCATTAACTTTTTTCCAGCTTTTGACAAATGCAGAACCATTGTCGATCACGACTTGGACAACATTATGCTCTCCCACCTCAATGATTACATCCCTCAATAATTTGTAAATATACTGTAGTTCTTTATATGGTCTGAAGCATCAACAGACTTCAAAAAAATTGTCTTTCCCTTAGAGTATACCATGAAGTTTATGATAGACAATCTGGTCGGGCCAGTCCATCCGTCACACAGGATTGTGCAACCATTAGTTTCCCACTTTGACCTCAACTTGTTAACATACTCGCCAATGTCTTTATACTCCATATCCAAATATTTGTTTCTTACCTTATAGGGTGTGGGAAGTTGTACTCTAACACCGGCCTGTTGACATCCCACTACCATATTTTTAAAATGATGTGATGATGCCTTCTCAGTAGAGACATTTTCATAGATAAATAACTTGCTAATTAGACACCCCATTCCCTCCTTCACATTACCTCCTGTGAAATAACTCCAAACACTCTTTTGACGTGCTTTGGATGACTTATATAAACTTGGGGCTATTGGTGGTGTTGGTTGTGATTCTCTAACACTGCTTCCCCGTCTCATTTGTGCACCACCACTTGTCCCTGAACCTTGTGCTCTATTAGGAATTTTATGAAGGTGTTCTCTTTCCCATACTGACTGTTTGGAGGCACGTAGTGCTTGTTTCAAACTGCGTCATTCTTCAGGTCCCATGTCATCATCACATTCGTCCTCATTGTCATCATCATCACTGTCAACCGCTTGGTCAATGACTTCTCCTCGTAGCCCAGCTCGAATATTTTCCATTCCATGTGTTATCTTTTCCTTCTGCTGTTTTTTATTTTTTAATAATGTGGTGATGAATGCCTTCACTTCTAGGGGGACATTATCGCATCGTTGAACATTTTATGCTAGATCTAATCCACTAAGATGGTATTTAAGTCGTGTCACTCCGCCACTCTTCATTACCCGACCATAATATTTGCAAATTGTGCCATGTTTGTTTCCGTCTATTGGGTCTCCATGTTCCCAAGCTGGATCACGTTTAGTAACTCCACTGGACATCTTAAACGTATCTATATTTATTTTTCATGAAAATTAGACAATTTTTTTTTGGCAAAAAATATAATAGTGATGACGGTTATATAAGAGAACCTAAATAATAAAGTTATTATACAAAAGAATTAAATACGAAGTAAAGAAAATGATTGTAAAAGTTTAAGTAATTATAAAAATAATATGAAATAATAAAACCTAATATTAATGAATAATAATCCAATTTGATAAAAAAATCATCCTAATATTAAGCATAGTAATGATTCTAATGAATAATAATCCAATTTAATAATAATCCAATTTAATGAATAATCCAATTTGATAATAATTCAATTTAATGAATAATAATCCAATTTGATAATAATAAAAAACCTAATATTAATGAATAATAATCCAATTTGATAATAAACCTAATATTAAT